CCAGGGGGAGATGTCAATTGACGAAGCAATCATCTCCCCCAGTGGGAAGGGCTGGACCGGCAAAAGCTCGGGCCAACAATGGGAGATCCTGCCGCGGAGGAGGAGGAGGAGGAGGAGGAGGAGGAGGAGGAGGGGGAGGAGGGGGTGGAGGGGGTGGAGAAGGAGGAGGAGGAGGAGGAGGAGGAGACGGAGGGGGAGGTCAGCGTCGCGACCGTGCGAGCTCTCACGGCGTGCGCTGCCCTCGTGCTGCGACCTTTGCCCGCCTCGCAGACATGGCAGAGGGCGCTGACACCTCCTGCTGCCACTCGCTTCCGGACCCTCGGACGGTGCTCGGACGGGCCGGAACGCACTTCCCAGGGCACGGGAATCTCGCCAGAGAGTTCGTCTTCTCTTCCCACCAGTTTATTGAGGTTTCCTCGTCGACTCCTGTGCGCAGCAGGGCTCGGTTTTCCGCCTCGACGTCTTCGTCCTCTGGCTGGTAGCGCGGGCTGGTCTGGGCCCGATGTCCACTGGATGTCGCCGTTTGCCCCAACGCGGCCACGCCAGAAATCGCGCGCGGAACGCGCGCGGAACGTCTTCTCTTCCCACCAGTCTTATTGAGTTCTCCTCGTCGGCGAGCCCTGCTCGGTCGTGGAGAGAAAAGGGCTCGGGGCCCCGACTCCCAAGCCGCCGCGTGCCCGACGTCCGACGGCTCCGCTCGCAGAGGCCCTCCGAGGTGCGTCACGCTGGCTCGCGCGCGAGATCGCACATGCCAACCTCGCAACTGACGGGGCCCCAGGACACACAAATAAATACACACAAATCCTAGAATTCCCCATCTTTTCCCGTATTTTCTGGGTTTTTGTCTTCCCGCCCAATTCCCATATTTTCCCATATTTTCTGGGGGATCGACAATTAATTGTGTTTGTGTGTTTTTTCCCCTCCTGAGCAACGGTGAGCGAGTCGGTGTAGTGCTTGCTTCGCCGGCCGAAAAAAGGGAGACCGAACCGGAAACCGTCGACGGCGAGCCCGCTTTGCTCGCAGTCGTAGGCAGCTCCACGGCTTGACGTGCCGTGGCGCCGCTCGCGGTTTGCAACTGTCAGATGACACTTGCATGAGGAGAAGATGAATCTCGACAATTTCGAACCGCGCATTGTGATCTGCAATTCCATGACCGCGTATGTGTCCTGCAACGACTCGTCGACTCGCCCCAGGCGAGCGCCGATGCTGGTGACGTCCGCCAAAATCAGCCACAGGGGTGGCCTCAGCTCCTGACATGGTGGGTGCGGTGGCAATAGACTGTAATTTATTTCACGGCGGCTCGGGCCAATTCACTGAGAGGGCCGTGAAGTGAAAAAGTGCGCTCCGGCGACTTATTTCGAGCCGACTCCTTCGCTGCGTACAAGTTGAAGCCGTCAGGGCCCCACGGTTTCAATCCCGCCAGCCCTCTGAGCGTGAGTGATTTAGAGCGTCGTCTCTTCTTTCCTTCTTCCCCTTCGGAGGGTTTACTCCTTCCCCTCCCCCCTTCCCCTGGACCTGGACGGGGCGCCCCTCGGCCCACTTGAGCGTCCAGGATGGCCGATGATGGCTCCAAGCGGGCCTGAGATAGCCCAAGATGGCCTCCAAGTCGGCTCAAGATGGCCCAAGATTGCTCAAGATCGCTTCCAAGATGCTCCTAGAGGCTCCAAGACCGCCTCAAGACGGCTCCAACTGGCCTCGGAGCACCCCCAAGAGTTCCCAAGGCCAACATCCGCTCCAAACCGAAGGATAATCATTGTGTTTTGCTTTCATGCGTTTTGCTTTCTCACCTTTTTGCTTCCGAAGGCCTTCCGAGGCCTCAAGATGGCTCCAAGATGGACCAAGATGGCACCAAGAGAGGCCCAAGAGGGCCCCCAAGACGGCCCCAAGAGCGCCCAAGAGCGCTCCAATTGGGCCCCAAGAGGCAATGATAGAGGCTCTCGAGGGGCGGCGCTAATTAAAGCCCCCTTGTCTGATCGATGTCCTACAAGATGGCCTCAAGAGGGCCCCAAGGCTCCCAAGAGAGCCCCAAGAGGCCCCCAAGGGGTGCCTAAACGGCCTCAAGGGGCCTCCAGAGACACCCTTCGACGGCACCCAAAAAGCCCCAAAGGGGCACCCGAGACCACCAAGAGGCATCCAAGATGGCCTAAGAGGCCTCCAAGGAAGCCCCTGGGCATACAAGAGGCCTCTGGGCTTATGTTCGCCCTTCTCCTCCTCCTCCTGCTACTCATCTTCCTACTCCTTCTTATTTTCATCTCGTCCTCCATTTACTCCTCCATCCTCTTCCTCATTCGAGATATAACGGCTGCCCACTTTCTTGCTCCTACACTTCCCTGGTCACGCCAACTCTCCTGGGCATCGTTTCTGGATGGGCTGGTGGGGATACTTTTTGTCGTCGCGGCCGCAGGCGAGCGCGCCGGCAGCGTCGGAGGTCGGGCGGGCTACGCGCGAACCAAATTGCGTGGTGGGGATACGCGAAGCGTCATCAACTTGAGCCAGCATGGCTACGAAGGAGAAGTACGAGAGGAAAGGGAAAGGAGGAGGAGAAGGAGAAGGAGGAGGGTGAGGACGAATCAGAGGAGAAGGTATGTTCAACAACAACACGCCTCGTCAAAAACTTTCTGATGACGGTGCTGCCGCCCCAAGCCGCCTCCCGATCCGATGCAAACGCCACGGCAACAATACTTGAAGGAATGTATAAGCTTCCGTTAGAGATCGTGGTGTCGGTCCTCCTGTTACTATTCCTCCTTAGTACCATCATCGTTCACCTTGCCCTCCTACTTCTCTACACTCTCCTCTTCTTCCCCCTCCCGAAAACGAGAAAGGAATAGGGTCGCCCGTTCAGGAACTCAGAGGAGGCGAAATCCAGGCCCATCTTGGGTCAAACCTCGCCTCCATCCAATGTCACCAGGGAGGCTATATCTATCAACGGCACAAGCGGGAGCGAGAGCAAGAGAGCAGGGCAGGATGAGTGCACACTCTGGAGGTGATGAGGATGGCAGACAAGGCCTGTTGATGCACGAGCCATCGCATGCCCGAGCGAAACGCTGTTCTTCACAAGCGTCCACTTGCAGTCTAGTCCGCTCAGATAGGAAGTCAAAAGAGCAAGGACACCGTAACGCCTCCCGGCTGACAACACGTTAGCGTTAGGTCGGGCCTGTCCCCCTACAGGAGGATTTTGGGCGAAAAATCAAACATACGCAGAATATGTCCAAAAATTCTCAAAAATGGTACCCAGACTATTTTTGGACTATTTTTGAACATTCCTCCTGTAGAGGGACAGGCCCGACTTATAACGTCAGTGCTGCAGTGAGGCGGCCATCTGACCACACGCAGTGCTCTGTCCACCCGCCCGGGCCACCGGGCCCGGAGGCACGAGCTGAGGTGTGATCAAAGCCTTTGAAGCCCTCCGTCCTCGGCCGTGGAGCGACTGAGCTGTAAAGGGGCCCCGACTCCAAACTCCTGGATCTGACGGGGAGTGCCGCAACTTTCCTGGGGTTCCCCGCATGTTCTCGCGAGACGTTTCGGAGCCAAACGGGCCCCCGAACGGGCCAAGAGGCCCTCAAGGGGCACCGAACACGGCCCAAGAGGGCCCCGAGTCGCCGAAAGACTGCTCCAACCAAGACGCCCAAGACGGCCTCCAGACGGCCCAAGAGGCAAGAGGGCTCAAAGAATCCCCCCGAGAGGGCCCCGAGAAGCCCAAACCATTTGCTTTCCTCACGTCTTCACATGATCTGAGCGTTCTCGTCATTTCAGGCTTTCGACGCTCCAAGACAGTCCAAGAGGCCCCGAAGGTCGCCCCAATACAACACAAGAAGCCTCCAAGAGGAAAGACGAGAGAGGGAGAGAGGAAGAGAGTGAGTAGTGAGTGAGTGCGTGAGTGAGTGAGTGAGTGAGCAAGTTAGCGAGCGAGGGAGGAGAGGGCGCGACCGTGGGTGAGGACGACGAGAGAGAGGAGAAATGTGAGGAAGACGGACCAACACGAGGAGAAGGAACACGAAAAGACGAGTTGCGCAGAGGCGTGACACAACCGTCGATGATGGCGTCTTCCTTCTCACGAGCTGCTTCGCAACGCCGGCCATTGGGGCTGAAGGCCGGAGGGACACGACGGGCCCCCTGTTGCGCTACGGGCCGGGGCTCCCTCGCGGAATGCCCGCGCGCCGTGCGTCCCTCCCTCCTTCTCCGCGCCCTCTCCCTGCCTCTCCCCCTCCCGCCCCTCCCGTCCCCCCCCGCCCTCCCTGCACCCCGTCGGCAGACCCTGCCTGCCTCCCTGCATCCCTCCACTCCCCCCCGTGGCCTGTCCCGCCCCCCCCCCCCCTCCGGGCCCGAACTCGTCCGCGCAGCTCTGGAATCAGGGCCCCCCCCCTCTGGGCCCGAACGCGTCCCGGGGCGCCCCCTCTGGAATGAGCTCGCGCAGCTGCCTGCCTCCCTGCATCCGGATCCACTCCCCCCCCCGTGGCCTGTCCCGAGCCCCCCCCCCCCCTCTGGGCCCGACCGCGGCAAGGGACCGGGGCCCCGCGCCTCCAGAGACCCCTCGGGCGGGCCCCGCGCCTCCAGAGACCCCTCGGGCGGGGCGACAGGGGGGGGATAGCAAAAAGAGGGGGTGTTGAGAGTCGGCTCGCGGAGCTGCTTTTTTCCCGGCGCCTCCAGGCGCCGGAGGCGCCCCAGGTGTCGAGGCATGGGCCCCTCGGTGGGGCCGAAGCCAGCTGCAGCAGATTGATCGACTTCCACAAAATCGGGGCGGGGCGAAAGGGGGGGATAGCAAAGGGGAGGTGTTGAGGATCAGCTCAGGTACAGCTGCTTTTGTCTCGGCGCCGCCCGGCGCCGGAGGCGGCCATGCATCGAGGAATGGGCCCCTCGGAGGGGCCGAAATCAGCTGCATGCAGCAGATTTCGTGCCCCCCCCTTTCCCAATCCCCCCCTTTCGTCCGGCCGGAACCCCCCTTCTTCTTGCCGCCCCCTCTCGCCTGCCCGGCCATCCGTTCTCCCCGCCAGCGCGCGGGCCTGGAATGTCGGCCGATGTCGGCGCCTTCTCGGCCTCCCCGTTCTTGGCCTTGCGCCGCTTGCGCGCCTCAGCGAAGGGGGGCGGGGCGGGCAAAGGCAGGCAGGGGCAGAGCGCAAGGCACCCTCGGGACCTTGAGGCGCAGCTATGGATGCACGGGCGGTTGCAAAAACAAGTTGACGACGATGCGCCCTGCAGGTCGCCCAGAGGCCCTGGGGACATCTGGATGACCTCTGGAGGTCCCTTCACGCATGCTGTCAAAACCCCGCGGCAACATCTGGCATGCGGAAACCGCGCAAAGGGGCAGGCACGATTGAGCGGTGAATGACCCAATCTTGCAATTCTATGGTGTTTCCTTTTCGTCTGGAAGAACTCGGGCTTCAGGAAGACAGTGAGAACGACATGGGACCCTTCTCTTGTGCCGTATTTGCCGAGCGCCACTGGTGAAAAGGCCAACGGCCCCCTCCCTCAAACAAAGAATAACAAACGCATGGGACACCAACAACAGGGGTACATCAACTGTCGCTAAGTCAAAACATCTGTTTCGTGCGGTTTGTGTGGGAACACGTGCGCAACTGCCTGCCCGCAAATTCGTTAACGGGTAACGAATCCTTCTCTTCTTGCTCCTGTTCCGGGCTAGGTGTCGCGGTGTCGTGGCTGAATGGCGCCGTGGTGTCGCAACGTCTCATTGCCATGCTGCCGCTCGGGGCGGTGACGTGGTGACCATGCTACCGCTCAAGAGATGAATGTACAGCTGCAACGAAAACTCGAACTAAGCGCGTCGATGAATATATGGCAGATCCAGGGTACACCCAAGACTGGGCCCCATGCTCAAGCAACCATTAAGACCACACATTACTTTGAACCACATGCGACTCTGTGCATTCCAGTTGCGTGCCCGCCGATCCGTCCCGTGGTGTCTCCTTGGAATGTCGTCGAAAGCGAAGATCTAACATTATATACCTGTGACTAAGAATCCGTCGTACAGCCGCAACGCAACACGAACAAACACTTACGTGTAATATCAACGTGGCAACTACATGTGGAACTGCAGCGGAAACGAATGGCACAACGTAAAACTCACCGCCGAAAGGCAGCCACATAACCGAAGACAGGTCAATACTTAAATCAGTCAGCGAGCTGGAGCCAGCGGCTAGAAACATAGCTACAACTAGAATGCTAAGCGTGACGCTCCTGCCAAAGCTGCCTCCGCGCAAACACCGAGCGCCAACGTGAGGCCAAATACTATAGCGTGACTAGATCTACTTCTTGGTGATCCAGGGTATCCAGGGTGCGACACTACAAGCCCCAGTTTCCTCGCTGGCCGAAGCAAGGCCGACCGCTGTGCAATGGTGAGCGACTGAAGCAAGGCCGACCACTGTGCAACAGTGAGCGGGGAGCATCCGAGTCAGCGCGGGGGGGCGGCTCGGCGGAGGGGTGAGCGCGCCGGCGGTGGCTGCCGTCCGCTGCCTGCGCTGCTCTCGCTGGGGGCACGTTTTTTGTCATCGGGCGGTGCGCGCGGTCCCAGCGAACCTCTGGGGCCTCGAGCGCTGGGCCGCACCGAGGCCGCAGAGGCCACTGGTGGAGAGAGGGCAGCCGTCGCGGCGGGCTTCCATCTTCCTCCGTCTTCTTCACCCTCCTCCTCGTGTTGCTGCTCCTCATTCCTCCCGCGCCAGCGCCGATGCAGGTTTGAGCGGTTCTGATGTTGTATGTTCCAGAAAGGCAAAAGCTCGCGCCAATGACTGTGGTAGAATTTGCTCCACGTACACAAGAAACAACGCCTATATCGGAGTGCTCAAGAACTCATGCGAATCCAGACGCCGAGCACGTTCAGCCCAACCCAAATAACCCTTCGGAATGCAAAGGGATCCATACAAATGTTGACTGGTCCTCAGGAATCTCGTAATATTCGAATGAACCTGAGAAGTCGTCAGGATTCCTGCGGATCCTCAGGAATCCAAAATAATTTCTCGGATTCAAAGGAGTCAGGTCAAAGGAGTCAGTAGGGATCCTTAGGACTCCCTCGTAATCCCACAGAGTCCCTCGTGATTTGACGAAGAAGAAACAATAGAGATCATTTGTTACCCAAAAGACTTCATATGAACGGCCAAGACCTCATGCGAATCCGTACGCCGAACCCGCCCCCCCCCGAAGGAACACTTCCGCAAACCGATGTATCCTTTGGAATTCCCCGTTGGACTTACGAATCTCTCACCCGTAGAATGAAACTGCGTGCGGAAACCATAATGATCTTGAAGCTTCTCAGGAATCTCAAGGACTCTTTGATGCTAAGGGTCCTCAGGGAACCTTGCGAGTTCTTAAACATCCTCCTCGTCCTCCTCATATTCATCTTCCGAAGGAGGGCAAGAGCACCAGCGGCAACAGCAGGCGAGGATGATGATAAGGACGAGGCCACAGACAAGTGAGGGAGAGGACGGTGGACGAGGACAAGCATGAGGGAGAGGAAGGGGATGATGAGAAATAACAATGGGGGGCGGAATAAACTACGGCCCGAACGCTGCTCTAGAGAGCCTTCGGATGGGCCCAAGCGGGCGCCGCGGGCTCTAATGATGGTCCACTTCGCAGTCGGAGGCTTGAACGCCAGAAACAAAATGAATACGTGTCAGGCCGAAGGACAAGCAAAAAACACCAGTGTAACAAACGCGTGCTGTTCATACCCTCCACGCTGCTTTGCCAGCGCGTTGCGCGCATGCAGAGACCACGTGGCACGATGGTGCACAGATGGCGGAGGGCGAAACTCAATTGCACGGCGGCGATCTTCAAAGTCGGGGTCCTACTCGAGTATGCGTTCATGTGTTCGTTGCGCCACGCGCAGGGCTCATTTCCAAACCGCCGGGGCCACGTTTAGCAAGGAGTACAGGTACGCGTCCGGGAAAACGGCGACGCCCCCAAGACTTCTCACTTCCGAGTCCCCAGCCCTCGCAGGATCCAAACCAAAGCATGGCGATGACCAATATGGCATTTCGTATTGGTGGAGAGCATTTTGTACATCCGCTCCTGAGAAGAGCACCCCCCGCCATGGTTCCAGACCAGTTTCACAGAAGCCCGAGGCGGAAAAAGGATGGACATTGGGGGGGAGTTCTTAAAGTGTTGGTTCGATCGCTTGCACCGCAGGATGATCGGAAGACAATCGTCCTTCTCTCTTGCACTTGGACCGCCGCCGCCTGCTGGAGAAACGAGCTGACCTGTTCCGCGTCGCAATACTCTGTCTTAGTCACGAAGTACCGCCGCTGCCTCGGGCCACGTCCTCGTCGATAAAGCCGTCGGATAAGCTGACCAGGCCTCGGGAAGTTCGAAGTTCCCCAACCAGCGCCGCCGTCCGCTCCTTTGCAATCTGCTTCGATGTGGAACGAATGCGAAAAGTCAGCCTGGCCAGCTCCAGCCCAATCTCTCCAGGACCCCGTCGATCTGCCAGTGCGCGTGCCCTCCAAGTGTGTTCGTATGTCGAGGGGGTGTGACCGCTGCTTCTCCAAGTCCGTCTTCAAGCTTTCAGCCGGCGTAGGGTACAGAAAGCCTCGCGAGCCTTGTTGACCAGGAGCGAAGCAATCGAGTTCCAGAGCTCGTCGGTGGAAGGGCGCGTGCACATTCTGACCCTCTCAGGCTCATGTATAGACAACATTTCGCCGTCACTTTCTTCAACCAAAGTCGCACAGCCCCCACAACGCCGTGCAGAAGCCATAATACCATCAAATCCCAACCAGGAGAGCTTGCCATCTGAGCTTGAAAACAATGAGCGAACTCCACGAACAGAGGCCCATGGTCGCGGTCGTCGAACATCTGGACCGGCTGCAATATCCGCACCGCCTTTTCCAAGACACGGCAGGACTTCACGTGAGCCATCAATCCCTGTGGTATGCGTATGAAATCGATGCGGGAGGTATTGCCCAAATTGCCGTAGCATGTTGGGCCAAGCTCGCTGAAAGTGTTGCACGCCGCCATCTCGCAGTCCTTCACCATCTGGTGCCACAGCCTGTCCGCCAAGCCCTCCGCGGAGGGCTCGAAGGTGCCCACGGCCCTGTCCTCGCCCTCCTCAACCCAGTGATGCAGCGCTGCCTCCTCGACCGTCGTGTCTGCGGAGACCCCGAGCCCGTCGTTGAGGTCGCAGCCGATCACGGGGGCGCAGCGGGCGCCGACCGAGTCGATGGTAGAACGTGTCCACGCTAGAAGTGCCTGGACCAGGCGCCGATACTCCGCCGCCTGCCCTCGACCCTATTGTTGACACAGGAAGTAAAGCACGACAGACAGCACGTCGAGCGTGGAGGTCTTCAGGCGGACGGCCCCAGCCCCCACAGCAAGAGCAGGTGGAGGAGCGTAGACACGTCGTGGGCACCTGGGTGGAAAAACGTGACTGTGCATCATGATGGAGACTCCGCACGCCTTGTTTCTCGCCCACGTCCAGCCGAAGGAGATCTCCCAGTGCTTCTCATGTCGGTAGATCTGGTGGTCATCCTCTCCCTTGCGTCTGGCAGTTCCAGGAAGAAGAAGGGCACCCACATTATGAAATTCTCGATGTATGTCGCTGCATCGCATCGGGCCGACGAGATGCATCGGATTGTATACGTACATGCCCTGGTGTGCGTGTGCCCGCACGGTGGGGGGGCGGTGGCGTGGCGAGCTCGTCATTCCCCAGACAGAAACGAAGATCACCAGCTGCAGGAGCCCACGGCGAGGAGCCAGCGCCTGCAGAGCCATCCGCTGGGCTCGGCAGACCCCGCGAAGGACGCATCATGCCGCTGTCGCGGAATCTCTTTCCTCTGAAGTGGGATGAGCCGCGAAGGAGGGTGGTTCGGGCCGCGGCGGCTGGAGGAGGAGGAGGAGGAGGAGGAGGAGGAGGAGGAGGAGGAGAAGGAAGAGGACGTAGGAGAAGGAGGAGGATGAGGAGGAGGAGCGAGAAGGCGGACTAGGAAAAACAGGGTAAGGACAAAGAGAGAAGACGATTGTCGAATGCTGGCCCTCCAACGGCCTCCAGCGAAAAGCTGACCAAAAACAGACACACCATCGCCCAGCCTCGACGCTGGCGCCTTAGTGGGCCCTGGAAACGACAGGACGTTTTTTTACCGGTTCCGTTTTGCCGTTTTGCTGCCGGTTCCGACGCCATTTTTTACCGGTTCCGTCGCCGTTTTTCTACGGGTTCCCGCTCCAGTTTCAATCCTGGAGCCGTTTTTGTTGCCGTTTCCGGTCGCCGCTTCTTTGCCGTTTCCATTTTCACGGGGCACTTTTTTTCGGAAGCGGTGACAAAACGGCCCTGCCGTTTCCGGGGCCCATTCAGGCTGGCGCCCGAGGGGGGACTTGGCAGGAGTGGTCAGGGAAGGGAGGTGAGGAGGGCGAGGGCGAGGGGAGGAGAAGGAGGAGGTGAGGAGGAGAAGGAGGAGGAGGAGCAATAAGAGGAGGCGAGGAGGAGGACGAGGAGGAGGATGAAAACGAGGAAGAGGGAGATGTGGAGGAGGAGGAGGAGGAGGAGGAGGAGGAGGAGGAGGAGGAGGAGGCGCTCCCAAGAAAAATCGCCCCCCGTCCTGCCAGAGGACCTGCTGCGGTCCCTGCCGCGGTCGCGGCGGCGTCTGCTGCGGCCGCCCATGCCCTGGGGCCGCCAGACCGTGGACGCGCGCGCCGTCGAGGGGCGGAAGGCACAGTGGCAGCAGCAGCGGGAAAGAGGAGGGCGACGAGGAGGAGGAGGAGGAGGAGGAGGAGGAGGAGGAGGAGGAGGAGGAAGAGGAGGAGGACAAGGAGGAGGAGGAGGAGGAGGAGGAGGAGGACGAGGAGGAGGAGGAGGAGGAGGAGGAGGAGGAGGAGGAGCGAGGCGGAGCGAGGCGGAGCGAGGAGGAGGAGCGAGGAGGAGCGAGGAGGAGCGAGGGACAGGAGCAGGAGCAGGAGGAGGACGAGGAGGATGAGGCGGAGGAGGAGGGAGGAGGGAGGAGCGAGGAGCAGGAGGAGAAGGAGGAGGTGGATCGAAACCGTTCAATTACCCAGCCAGCTCTGCCAACCAACCCAACCAACCCACTCGTCAATCAGCCCAAGCAACCACCCCGCCACCCAGCCAACCCGCAAAGCCGCCCACCTTCGACGCCTGGGCGGCCAAGGGAGGCCGAATCGCCCCGCTGCGTTGGCGACCGCGCCCCTACGGGGCGGACGCCGCGCCCGCTTTTTCAACGGAATCGCTCCTGTACTGGAAACCGGTACGGCTGCCTAGGCTCCTTCGAGAATCCAGCGGGACAGAGGGGCCAACTCGCCGAGCAACGTCGGGGACTGGATCGACCAGGTGCCGCGCCCGCTGTTCACGGAAAAGCTCTCATCATCGAGGCCGTCGTCGCTTTCCAGGCTCGGCGTGGGGCTTCTTAGAGGGCCCGGCGGGACGGCCAGGGGACGCCAAGTCGCCTAGAATCGTGGGGGACCGCACCCACGGGCAAACGCCCTCAGGACTTGAACGCTACAACAAAATATTAAGGAGCTGTTTACCTCGAAACTGGAAGTCCCGGCGATCGAGAGGACGCCCCCAAATACAATGGACGACGTACCTACACGCTGAGGCCTTGGCACAGCGGGCAACGATCCCGGCACTCTACAGGCTCTGCTGCAGAATCCCTCAGACTGGCACGCGGCAGTCAACCAGCGCTGCGCCCTCTGGTTGATTGCCTGTGCCCCTATTATTCCTTTCCCCCTTTCCTCCTCTCCACCCCCTCCCCACCCCACTCCCCCATGGAGACTGTCGCTTGCAGGGTACCGAACAGCGGGTCACCAAGTACAGTGATTGCTGGTGATTGTATACCTTTCTCCCTGCATGGCGTAGTTGGTTTTAATTGTTTTTCCTGCATGTGCAAGCTCGAAATATGTCCATGCCAATGCGTCGTCTAGGTGCGGCTTTGTGTGTGAGAACCATCATGGTAGCGTACAAATATGTGAAGCATGAGGGGAAAAGGAACCGGAATGGTTGCTGGCCCAGCGCCCAGCAGCACTTCGAAGAGGACCCCAAGCGTGAGGGCATAGGCAAGATCAGGCCGAACGACTGGGCCAAGAGTGAGAACCGGGAATGCTCTCGCGAGCATGCCAACCTGCCGCCGCAGCTCCTCCCCGCACCGCGTCCTCAAAAAAGGGCCCGGACATGCGACTTGCGCTGGTACTGAGACTGCTGGCCAGAAGCAGCCTCCCAGGCTGACCAATACGGACACGACCAAACACTGAGGAAGGCTAGCGAGAGCTGCGCCCAGGAGGAGGAAGAGGAGGAGGAAGAGGAGGAGGAGGACGAGGAGGAGGAGGAGGACGAGGAGGACGAGGAGGAGGAGGAGGAGGAGGAGGAGGAGGAGGAGGAGGAGCGAGGCGGAGCGAGGCGCAGCGAGGAGGAGGAGCGAGGAGGAGCGAGGGACAGGAGCAGGAGCAGGAGGAGGACGAGGAGGATGAGGCGGAGGAGGAGGGAGGAGGGAGGAGCGAGGAGCAGGAGGAGAAGGAGGAGGAGGATCGAAACCGTTCAATTACCCAGCCAGCTCTGCCAACCAACCCAACCAACCCACTCGTCAATCAACCCAAGCAACCACCCCGCCACCAAGCCAACCCGCAAAGCCGCCCACCCCCGACGCCTGGGCGGCCAAGGGAGGCCGAATCGCCCCGCTGCGTTGGTGACCGCGCCCCTACGGGGCGGACGCCGCGCCCGCTTTTTCAACGGAATCGCTCCTGTACTGGAAACCGGTACGGCTGCCTAGGCTCCTTCGAGAATCCAGCGGGACAGAGGGGCCAACTCGCCGAGCAACGTCGGGGACTGGATCGACCAGGTGCCGCGCCCGCTGTTCACGGAAAAGCTCTCATCATCGAGGCCGTCGTCGCTTTCCAGGCTCGGCGTGGGGCTTCTTAGAGGGCCCGGCGGGACGGCCAGGGGACGCCAAGTCGCCTAGAATCGTGGGGGACCGCACCCACGGGCAAACGCCCTCGGGACTTGAACGCTACAACAAAATATGAAGGAGCTGTTTACCTCGAAACTGGAAGTCCCGGCGATCGAGAGGACGCCCCCAAATACAATGGACGACGTACCTACACGCTGAGGCCTTGGCACAGCGGGCAACGATCCCGGCACTCTACAGGCTCTGCTGCAGAATCCCTCAGACTGGCACGCGGCAGTCAGGCAGCGCTGCGCCCTCTGGTTGATTGCCTGTGCCCCTATTATTCCTTTCCCCCTTTCCTCCTCTCCACCCCCTCCCCACCCCACTCCCCCATGGAGACTGTCGCTTGCAGGGTACCGAACAGCGGGTCACCAAGTACAGTGATTGCTGGTGATTGTATACCTTTCTCCCTGCATGGCGTAGTTGGTTTTAATTGTTTTTCCTGCATGTGCAAGTTCGAAATATGTCCGTGCCAATGCGTCGTCTAGGTGCGGCTTTGTGTGTGTGAGAACCATCATGGTAGCGTACAAATATGTGAAGCATGAGGGGAAAAGGAACCGGAATGGTTGCTGGCCCAGCGCCCAGCAGCGCTTCGAAGAGGAGCCCAAGCGTGAGGGCATATGCAAGTTCAGGCCGAACGACTGGGCCAAGAGTGAGAACCGGAAATGCTCTCGCGAGCATGCCAACCTGCCGCCGCAGCTCCTCCCCGCACCGCGTCCTCAAAAAAGGGCCCGGACATGCGACTTGCGCTGGTACTGAGACTGCTGGCCAGAAGCAGCCTCCCAGGCTGACCAATACGGACACGACCAAACACTGAGGAAGGCTAGCGAGAGCTGCGCCCAGGAGGAGGAAGAGGAGGAGGAAGAGGAGGAGGAGGACGAGGAGGAGGAGGAGGACGAGGAGGACGAGGAGGAGGAGGAGGAGGAGGAGGAGGAGGAGGAGGAGGAGCGAGGCGGAGCGAGGCGCAGCGAGGAGGAGGAGCGAGGAGGAGCGAGGGACAGGAGCAGGAGCAGGAGGAGGACGAGGAGGATGAGGCGGAGGAGGAGGGAGGAGGGAGGAGCAGGAGCAGGAGGAGAAGGAGGAGGATCGAAACCGTTCAATTACCCAGCCAGCTCTGCCAACCAACCCAACCAACCCACTCGTCAATCAGCCCAAGCAACCACCCCGCCACCAAGCCAACCCGCAAAGCCGCCCACCCCCGACGCATGGGCGGCCAAGGGAGGCCGAATCGCCCCGCTGCGTTGGCGACCGCGCCCCTACGGGGCGGACGCCGCGCCCGCTTTTTCAACGGAATCGCTCCTGTACTGGAAACCGGTACGGCTGCCTAGGCTCCTTCGAGAATCCAGCGGGACAGAGGGGCCAACTCGCCGAGCAACGTCGGGGACTGGATCGACCAGGTGCCGCGCCCGCTGTTCACGGAAAAGCTCTCATCATCGAGGCCGTCGTCGCTTTCCAGGCTCGGCGTGGGGCTTCTTAGAGGGCCCGGCGGGACGGCCAGGGGACGCCAAGTCGCCTAGAATCGTGGGGGACCGCACCCACGGGCAAACGCCCTCGGGACTTGAACGCTACAACAAAATATGAAGGAGCTGTTTACCTCGAAACTGGAAGTCCCGGCGATCGAGAGGACGCCCCCAAATACAATGGACGACGTACCTACACGCTGAGGCCTTGGCACAGCGGGCAACGATCCCGGCACTCTACAGGCTCTGCTGCAGAATCCCTCAGACTGGCACGCGGCAGTCAGGCAGTGCTGCGCCCTCTGGTTGATTGCCTGTGCCCCTATTATTCCTTTCCCCCTTTCCTCCTCTCCACCCCCTCCCCACCCCACTCCCCCATGGAGACTGTCGCTTGCAGGGTACCGAACAGCGGGTCACCAAGTACAGTGATTGCTGGTGATTGTATACCTTTCTCCCTGCATGGCGTAGCTGGTTTTAATTGTTTTTCCTGCATGTGCAAGTTCGAAATATGTCCGTGCCAATGCGTCGTCTAGGTGCGGCTTTGTGTGTGTGTGTGTGTGAGAACCATCATGGTAGCGTACAAATATGTGAAGCATGAGGGGAAAAGGAACCGGAATGGTTGCTGGCCCAGCGCCCAGCAGCGCTTCGAAGAGGAGCCCAAGCGTGAGGGCATAGGCAAGATCAGGCCGAACGACTGGGCCAAGAGTGAGAACCGGGAATGCTCTCGCGAGCATGCCAACCTGCCGCCGCAGCTCCTCCCCGCACCGCGTCCTCAAAAAAGGGCCCGGACATGCGACTTGCGCTGGTACTGAGACTGCTGGCCAGAAGCAGCCTCCCAGGCTGACCAATACGGACACGACCAAACACTGAGGAAGGCTAGCGAGAGCTGCGCCCAGGAGGAGGAGGAGGAGGAGGAGGAAGAGGAGGAGGAGGAGGACGAGGAGGACGAGGAGGAGGAGGAGGAGGAGGAGGTCCTGGCAGGCCCGGGGAGCGCCACTCCCCAGCTCCGAGTACAGGCCAGAGCCGACCCACGCCACTGCGGCTTACTCACGAAGGCTCGCGCCCACACACCGTACCGTCGGGGCGTTGACCCAAGGAACCCCAAATAGGGAGCGAGGCCCCTTTCTCCCATCGGTGAAGCTTCGACTTCCCGTGGAGAGCCTCAGGAAGACCCCAGGGCAGACTGCAAAACAACCAAGGAGCACGGAGCCCCTCCCCAGCGAAAAGGGTTCCTTCCTCAGCGCCCACACACT